CACCCCAGGGACTGGTCCGGACTGTCCTGTGTCCGGTGATGTCCGGATCACCGGACAGTCCGGACCGGTCCAGACACTGGTCCGGAAGACAGTCCGGAAGTGTCTGGTGTCCGGGTCCGCGGTTACCATGGTTTGGAATACAACAATTTCCTCAGACTTAGTGCCACGCCCCTACCAATGGTGCTATGTCCATGCTAGGAGAGCACGGACCTGCTTCTTCTATTATGGCCAGATTCATGCATTCAAAGAATGAACATAGCACCAGTGGGGCCTGACCCTCACAACTGAATCCGGGATGTGAGATGCCTTGGCAACCCATGAGCAAGGCACTTCAGAGGGACAAAAATAAAGGAGGTCAACTTGGGTAGGATGGGCCAAGAGTTGCATCATGCTCTTGCACTTTTGAGCTCGAAAACTGCAGAAAACTGCCACAAGTTCTGTTGCTGCAGGATTGCCCAAAAGATTACTGTGTAATGCCCGCCAAAACACAGACTGAGAATACTGCTGATTTCTGGGTTTTGCAGCTGGAACGTGTGCCTTGCTGAGATTCCCACATTCTGCTGAGTTTTCTAAGTCTGTGTGTGTGCGCGCCTGCTGGTCTGCATGCCTGTCTGAGTACTTGTCGGCCTGAGTGTGTGTGTGACCCACAAGGGTACTTGTTCGTTTGGAGGCGCAGGGCCGGTACTTACCTGTGGCCGTGAGTTTGTGGGTTGCAGCGGGGAAGAACACTCAAGTGGCAGGTAGGCCGGTACCGCTCAAGTAGTTGTAGATGTGTTGGATACTCAAGGCCGAGCAGAACAAAACAAAAAGATGGCAGTTTTAGAGGCCCAGTCGCGGTAGGTAGGCGGGTACCAGTCCAAGTAGCCGGAGTCTAGGGCCTGTACGGACGATATCGGAGCCTGCAACGATGTTTCCCTCCGGAAGGGAGGAGGTACCGGTTGTTTGGAGGCCGTGCGGCCTGGAAGTAACCGCCCAAGAGGCAAGCTCGCGGCAGAGTCGGGCATGGCGGCCTGAAGAGCAGCGACCATAGCTGCTTGGAGTTGTCTTTTGCACAGGAGGGCAGTGTCCTTAGTAGTCCCGCCATAGCCTTGACATGTGAGAGGAGGAAGAAGGGGGAAACCATGTCTATGGTGGACCTATTGTTGTGCTGGCAGTAAGAGGGAACTTCGGACATTGATTCTGGTTCTACCACTAGTTGTTATTATTATTATTTGGGAGAAGAGTAAGATTGGTGGAGACGAGAGGAGGAAGAATGTGGACAGAGAAGGGGGATTTGTCATTGGTCTGGCTGGTGTACTTCTTCTTTTTTCTTCTTTCTTCTTTCTTCTTTGGTCTCTCTTTGCAAGTGCTTTCATTTCTTTCGCAATTGGGTGGCATGGTCTTTCCTTGTGAATTTGCACTTCGGAAATAGCCAGGATCGTAACAAATGTGAAATTGGATAATAAAATAAATGGAATTAAAATACATACAATTCTCTCTTCTTTTTTGAATGACATTTTGTAGCTCACCCATTGCTTCTCATATTCCAGCACCACAAGCAACGCATCCACCTCCTCCCCGTTTGGGAATGCATTCACACCAAGTGGCAAGTCACTTACCTAAGTGAACTATGAGTCTCGTCGAGGTTACTTTCTGCTGGAGAAATGTTAACAAACATCAGAGTCTTGGCATTCCCACCTGCATGCAGAGAGAACAGTGACAAGATGAGCCTCCCCGAGGCATAGTTTCAAAACCCCTAATTTGCAGGGGAGGCTGAGACATGTCTGTGCCTCTGGGCAACATGACACATCAGAAACCACTTCTCGCCATGGCACACCTTTTCACACACATTCAATACTTTTTGAAAGCTTGCCATTGCACTCATAGAATTATATATATCGTCAAACAGAACTGCCTAAGGTAAACCGTAGGCAGAGAGGCAGAAGAGGACAACAAACGAGGGGCTGTGACAAAGTGTTTCGTCGGGTTTCACCGACTCATCAGGAGGCTGAGATATGATGTACATATAATACCATATACCGTCATGATATATGGACATATATTCACGCACATATACACCCTAGCCCCCACCCAAAAAAAACTGTCAAATAAAAAAAGAAAAATTGCGGAAAAAGTTATGAAAAACCATGGTGTGTAAAATTGCAATGCAAACAACTTAAAACAGAGAAAAGACTCAAAAGACTACTTTCATTATATGATAGATATGATGTATATACAATACTGTATATCTATGATAGATATGATGTATATATAATACTGTATATCGTCAGACTATATATCCCCATGATATATGGACATTTATTCATGCGCATATACACCCCAGGACCCCCCCCCCCAAAAAAAAAAAAAAAAAACTATAATAAAAAAAAATACGGAAAAAGTTCCAAAAAACAATGGTGTGTAAAATTGCAATGCAAACAACTTAAACCAGAGAAAAGAGTTCTTTCATTAGATTGGGCCCAGTGCCCTTCAGGCCCAATGTAAACAACTTTGGGCTGAGTGTCATCTCAAAATCCGTCATTAAATCGAAGACAGAAAAAAAAGACACACCCGTTCGAAGTTCAAAGCCCACTTATAAACAGCTCAAGAATGAGTCTGCCCTTGACGACAGAGAGGACATACATTGTAAGGATGAGGTGGATGAACACATGGAAGACCTAGCTGAGCATTCTCAGTACAATAATTGCCACCGCGGCTGGCATTCAGCACGCCCACCATACACCCCCTACAAATGGCATGTCAATCGCAGGCTAAAATGAAGGAAGAACGCTCGCCACAAAAGACCATGCATTCAGTATAGTGCCCATGGCCGCAAAATGGACATATTGTGCCCGGATGCAGAGGGTGCCTGCAGTCAGGTACGGAGGGACAGTCCTCTACGCACATGGATGCAGAAACCATGTCATTGTACAGGGATGATGGCGACTAAAGCCGAGTGCAACAGTGTTTGAAGCTGTGCAAAGGAGAAGGTCGCGGAGTGTTGGTACATTGCCCTGCTCCAGCATGGGGCCAAAGGAATGATCTTCAACATAAAAGAGAGATTGCGGACGGCTTGGTGTGGCAAGAAAACAGCATCATTATGTAAGAAATCAATACCATCAGTCATGGCGTGGACCATTCATCATACTGAATCTATATACATGGATATTTATTAAGCATTTCATATTGATTGATTAACAATGTCTATGTAGTATAATAAAAAAGGAACCGCACGCAAACAAAATGACGACCGGAGCAGCAAACAGCAAGCGCAAGGCATGAGGGGAGGGCAAGTTATTCTGGGGCAGTCGGAAACCCTTCGGAGGCGGACATGGATCAGGGCACTCAGGAGGAATTATTTTAGTTGTCTAAATAACAAGAACTTAAAACTGAGAGGAGAGGAAGAGGTATGGCAAGTTGACAGTCAATCCTCCAGACATCTGGAGCAATCAATGCTGATCAGGGGTCCTTCGGCCAAACGGAAGGAAGCGTGAGGGTGTTCTTGCTGTACTTTTGACTTGCCGGTGGAATAGGAACCGGACTGGTCTTCTCCGGAATGGATATGGAGCCAGGGCCATAAGGACCTGTTGGAAAGAAAATAAAAGTAAAAACAAGTAGTACTTATTCGGAATGACGACATGCAGGCTTTCATATCTAAAAGGGATGAATCACATGCAAATGCAGCATATGTGGGAGAGGAAAAACAAAGAGCAGGAGTGAAAGGACAAGTGCGTAATATTCTCCCAATTTACAACTCCTCCCCTCTTCCCCATCTGACATTGTACTTGAGATGTCCTGCTTCTTCCTCCTTGACCTTCTCCCTTTTTTCCCCTTCCCTTTCCTATGCTTCTGCTCCCCCTCTCCTCCACTCTCAAGTTCCACCATGATCATCTAGATGGAAGCAATAGTTCCACCCACACCAGGGCTAGCTCAGTTGTTACACCCAAGAACTACAGACCTCAGTTCGGGTCCAGATGGAATCACTTGATTAAAATAACTCTAGACAATCTGGGTCTGGTCCGCGAAGAGGTGATATCTCGACGCCGCTACCGTTTTAGAAGCAATAGCTCCAAAGTGAAGAGAAGATTGCATGCAAGCCATAGCCAGTAGGAGAAGGTCATTCTCGATTCGCACTTCACCTGTAGTCCAGTACTACCCAGTAGTTTTTTTTTTTTTTTTTTTTTTTTTGGGTTGTTAATTGCAGGAGGCACAAGAGTTCAGCTGAGGCGATACGGTACCACAAAAACCAAAACAAAAAAAAGAAAGAAACAATCAATCAAACACTCCCTCAACCAAATTATCTCCAAAAAAACACCCAAGAGGTCATCCTGCCCAGGAATAAATCTATGCTGCGATAGGAAACCTCACTGTTGTTCGTAGATCGTTCTTCATTATTGATACCCTTTTATGGTGTGCCACGACTCCCCTCTCCCACAAACATTGCAGGAGGTTATATTTCATAGCAGACACTTACCAAGAGAGTCACTCATTAGCATTGTCAGTTTGTGGTTTCGATACGGAATATGGGGTTCTTCTGTGGCAAGTGCTGAGATGACATCTCCTAGAGCACTTAACGACTTGTTGATCGACTGTGCCTCCTGCACATTGCAATACAAGAAACAACCATTGTCGTTGTCAATAACCCTGGTCGAACACACAACATATTGATTTACACACACATCTTCGAGGGAAGGTTGAAATCATGCCAGCCAGGCAGGTGTGTGATTAAACCACCAGTCGTTCCGAGCCACATTTTTTCCAGTGTGTGCTTTTGCACATCCCCAAGAAACCCCAAACATCACTCACGGCGCACAATTCGCCTCCCCAAGAACATCACGGTGGACAATTGGCCTGGACCCGCCAGCCTTTTCCAATGTCAACCAGCAGTGTTTTTGTTTCCCAAAGGCTAGGCCAACAAGTGGTGGTACAGTAAGCATATACTCTATCAAGAGATGACGGCTTGACTGACTCCTGGTCGTATTGATTGGATCTAGCATATGAAGAAGGAAAGTGTAGACATATGATGCTTTGTGCCTTTGGCCTACAACAGAGTGAAGCCTTGGCATATCCCCTACACACTGGCCTTGAGGCAGTCGTTGCCTCATCAGGGGAACCACTCGCTTACTTTGGCCCTTGGCTTCAACATGCAACCCTTGCTCTCCACCATCCAGGTTCGGTGACTATCGCCGGACATAGCCGAAGAAAACATGGCCACACATTTTGTCCATCGGACCAGAGGTTCTGCCAGCCATGTGCAGGTTGCATTCTGGCCAGCCTCGGCACATAATATGTTGCGCGGAATTGCGACATGGATGGCTTTTGGTTGAGTGCCGCTAAAAAAATTCTTCGGCCGGACAGAAGGAAGTTTGTGCGTATGTTGTTGTATTCTCTCGACTTGCCGGTGGAAAAGGAACTGGACTGACGCTCCCCAGAATGGATATGGACCCAGGACCATAAGGCCCTGTTTAAAATTGAAAAAAAATAAATAAATCTGTTTTCTAAGGTTTCTTTTTTTAAGTTTTATCTTCTTCCCCTGTTTTTTACCCGCCCCATTTCCCCAGGCTGGTGGCATCTGCCCACCCAGGTCTGGCTGCCCAAACATGCAGCTCTGGTAGCATAGCCACATACAAAAATGCACAAAGGATGGCAAAATAGTAGATGACGGGAGTGCCTGAGATGTTGAAAACTGCCAAGCATACCGACACCCCATACAACACACGGCCTTTAGTCAGACCACGCCACACCGGCAACAATTCACAAATCATGGCTTTCAAACCTCAGCCTAACGGCACCTGTCAAAAGCCCAGACAGATATATGCATGGAATTAGTACAGAGAAGCATGTGCCCATTACTCCAGCGATTGCACCAAAGATTATAAAAATTAGATATGGAGTACCAATATCCTTGTGGTTTGTGGAAAAACAGCCATCTCTGTGCAAAATTTGTCACATCATGTGCTCCCCATCTTTCAGTAACAAAATGCTCTGTTGAACCATTTTTGACTGATGTTTTCACAGTTTTAAAAAGCGAAATCCGTCACAAACAGTTTCGGGAAAACAAGCCTCTAGCGAGGCCCGTAAATGAATGGGATAATTTGCCAATTCCTTGTAGGACAGACCTAAAGCTCCCAGGTAGATGCTGGCAGTGGTCGAAGACAGACCCTGCCATCTGCAGCACATACACACTCCATCCAACACACAGCTCGTACTCAGACCACACCACACTGACAAAATTTCACAAATCGTGGCTTTCAAATCTCAGCCTAATAGCACCTGTCAAAAGACAGATATATGAAAGCCTGCCACTTCCTGGTAGGATCGACGTAAAGCTCCCAGGTCGGGATGCTGGTAAGGATTGAAGACAGAGCCTTCCGTCCCCAGCTGATCATGACAGGAGAAGAGATCACCATCACCATCACCATCACCATCTCCCATACCTTTAGTTGTTCACCAGCCGATCCTGACTTCTTCACTCGCTCAGATCCTGCCAGATCCACAAAGCTCAGCTGCACATGCATGCCAAGGCCAAAAACATCCAACAAAGGAACACAACCTCAGAACCTCAGAACAAGATCAGACAACCACTTTTGAAAGGAAAGTATTGTCAGCTGACTCTGACATGCAAGAGTGCATCCACGTTTCCATGGCTTCCAGCGGGCTATCCAGGGCATGCCCTTGGACCACTAGCCAGCAATGTGCACTACAGCATAAATTGCACACGATCCAGCACCCACTCCACAGCAGTTCCTGATCATTCTGGGTTCTGAATGGGGTTCTAGACCTTGTCCGAAACGCTGCTCCAGGTGTCTTGTCTGAACGCTGTTCTGTTACTTCTGTGTACCATACTTGCGGCGCATTGGGTGTGCGCCAGTTGGGCACGCGCAGCGCTC